TAGGCTTATTTTTATGAAAATGAATTTGCATATTAATATTTAGTCCAATTTATCTAAGTTTTTATGAACCAAATAAAAACTTAAAAAAAAAAAAAAAAAAAACTCATCTCATATGTCTAAAATAAGACTTTATGGAACAAGTATTAAATGAGTTGGATCGATTTCTTTATTCCATCCTAAGTATGGTTATTTTATATAATTTTTTTATTAAGAATTTAATAATCTCACAAATTTGATCTTCCAATTACACATAAAAATTATGAGATTGGGACTTATTTGAAATATTTAACAATTTATCACGTGACATCCACATTATATATGTAATATTCTTAATTTTAAGTAATTAGATTAATCATTTAGTTTATCTATACTTTAATTACAAGAGTCATAATTAAATATCACACTTTAATTTATATGATTAAATTCACGTTAGAAAATATTTCTTACGTTCAAATTTTAGTAGTTCATCCAAGTAATACCTACATAAAGCTAAGTTTTAATCTAAATAAAGCGTAATTTTAATCGATAAGTTATTAGAAAGTAGTATAACAAAAGAATATGTAAACAAAATCTATAAAATTTTAAAATTATTTCCAAATAATAAATATATTATTATAATTTATAAAAAATTTGAGAGCTTCCTGATAATTTATTTACACATTTTGTAGAAAATAGTCTATATATAACTCCTAAACTGTTATAGAAAAAAAAATAACACTTTTTGAATTAAAATTTTTATGAGACCCTCCTTAAATTATTTCATAAAAATATTCCAATAAAAAAAAAAAACTATCGCGTATATAAAACAAATAATAAGAAGGTTTGACTTCTTGGAAGGAAAAAAATGAGAAATACGTAACCTTTTTTATCAGAATAAAATAATAATATTAAAAAATATTTTATTAATATTTAATTTAAGGATGAAAGTGTTTTTTTATCTTATGTGCGTATAATTAAAGATAATTATTACGTTTGAGATATTATTTATTTTAAAGTTTTAGTTTGTTTTTTTTTTCTTTAAAGACACTTTGATGAATTAAAAAAAAAAAAATATATATATATATATATATATATATATATATATATAAATTATTTTTGAACTCCACTTGTAAACAACATAAAACATAATTGGAGATAAAATATTTCTATTTAGTGTTATATATTATCCCACTCCTCCCAATTTTTCTCGTCATTTTTTTTTCTTTGTCATATTTTCTCTCATTCTTTGATTTTTCTTATATACTTAATATCCCATATACTAGATATATGCTAGGTCTTTTGAGAATTTTTTTTTTCTTCTTGTCATGCTTTCTCTCATTTTTTTTTTTCTTATACACTTAGGTTTTTTTTTCTCCTTGTCATGCTTTCTCTCATTTTTTTTATTTTTCTTATACACTTAATATCCCAAATACTATATATATTAGGTATTTCGGGAGAGATCTACAATGATTGACACCATCTTCAATCCAAAATCTTAAAATATTGTATTATGGGTCTTTTTCCATTTTTATCTAATGTGAGACTTTAAACTCACACTTAAATTCTCTACAATTTCTCCCTCCTTAAGTGTGGGTCTTTTGATAAGAATTATTCAAAGAGAGACAACACAAATAAGATATGTGTTCAATACAAATAAGATATTGACACCAGTTTCAACCCAAAACCTTAAAATAAGGGATTACGAGTATTTTTTTCCTTATATGTTTCTTATTCTTAGTAGGGATTCAAAATCACATTTAGATTACCCAATAATATGATAGATGAAAATATATTTTCAAACTTATACTATATTACCTCCAACTTTTATCACTAAATTTCTCATTAGGATAAGGGACCTATGGTTCCGTCTTTTTTATTCATCTTTATAAATAAGGATGACAACACGAGTCGACCGTCCTATTTTGGCTTGTCTGTCCGCCAAAAATGGGGCGAGGTGGGTGACACATTATAGTTATGATGAACTATAGACCTTGACTCGTTATAATTTTTTAAAAAATTTAACATATATTTTAAGTTAATAATATAAATCAACATATTATTTTAGAAAATTATAATTTAGAACAATAATAAAATTTATATAATAATAAATAATAACAAATATATAAATAACGTCCAAACTTGTAAAAATTATATTTTTTATATTGAAAAATTTAAATACCTATATTTTTTTTATTTGATAAAACTTTACATTGTTTTCCATTTGACTAATTTTTATACCTTTAATTCAATTTATAAGAATAAAATAATCCGTGCTTAGGATAAATAAGGAAGAGATGAGCTTACGTTTAAATGAGAAGGATATTTTCTATAATGAGTGAGAGTAAAACTTTTTTTAATTCTCTTTTTACAATTTTTAATTTTATATATTGTTTTTATGATTAACTATGTTACAATAAAATTTTATTTTTTTATCAATTAGATGAACTGATCCGATGAGACAGGACAAATTAAAGCAGATTGAAGATACAAACTCACTTAACCATATTACAACCGATTGACGGACCAAGTATGCTAGATCTAGCTTGTTTTGTCGTCCCTATTTATAAACTTATTGTTTAATAATTTTTTATTTATTGAAGTTATACATTGTTCCCTTTTTATGTTTCTTATTCTTTTATGGTTGTATTATTTAAATTATTTTCAATAACAAACCAATCCAAATTTTATTGTTCAATTTATTCATGTTTTTATTATTTTATTTATTTTTAGTCATAAACTCGGCCATGTCTAAATATTTATTTATTTAAAGTATCTTCTTAATTTTATTTTATTCATATTAATTTTTATCAAGTAAAATATTTTTTAAATATATTCTTTTATATTGATTTGGATTGTATTTATAAATTATTTTAAAAAGAATAAGACAAGGTTTGTAGTGGCTCTTAAAAGAATATAGGTATCTAAAAAATGTTGGTTAAACTCGATAAGAATCTTACGTAATTTGCAAAGAGAATTAGGACCAAGTTAAGTATTGTACACGAAACCAAAATAAGTATTTACGTGTTTTTGTTATATATTTTAATAAATATAATTTGTAATTATATATATATAAAATATGATAGTGTTATGATTATGTGAGAAGATCTTTTTAATTAAAATAAAAAATAATAATTTTATTTTCTTATTAAATAAATAAGTATATTTTATAGTATAACTCTTTTAAAAAAATAGATAACAAGTTCTCGTATTAATTATCTCCTATTTAAACAACTCATACACGAATAATATTTTTTATTATTATCAACTTCATCTCTATACATGCGAATAAATTATAAAAATTCCTTAAGGTCATTATGTAATGTGATACATTAAAACTTGTTTATATATTAACATCTCATTTAAAAAACAAAAATTTGTATCCTTGACTTATTCAGAAAAAAATATTTTTTTAGTTCATTGATACATTTAAGTTATATCTCAATTTTTAATTTGACAATGTTTTGCATTAATCTCCTAATACACCACAAGAAAGAAGTGAAATCAAAATTATAACATTCAAGAATGCACTCAAATAAAAAATATGAAGGTTTATAAATCAAAATTTTATTAAAATTTAACAATGAGACTTAACCTCAACTAATTAATAAAGTATAAAAAATTAACTTTTTTTTCTTAATTGTTTAATTAGATCATTTAAAATTCAATAAAAGAAATGTGAATAATTAAAAACGTAAAAATTAAAAAAAAATTATCTTCTTTATTTATTTTCTTATAATATAAATTAAAATAAATTATTATTTTAAATCATTAGATTAAAAAATAAATATATTTTTCATATCATAATTATCACAGTTTTTTTATTTAAAATAATTAAAATATTTTATTCAATTTTTATATAATATTAATTATTTTATTATCATTAAAAAATAATTACTTTTATACCATAAATAATTAATATATATTTCTTTATTTATTAAATTATGTGATTTTAATTATAATAAAAGATGATTTCATAAAAAAATATGATTAATGAATGAAATATTTATACATATAATACTCTAAAATATTAGATGACATTTAAATCCATATACATAATTATATTATTACTAGATGAGCATCTTTGTTGATATGATTAAAATTTTAATAGATTAATTAATAATATATGAAAACTAAATAAAATATTTTAATTATATTAAACACAAATATTTATCATAATTATTATATAAAAATTATATATATATATATACATATATATATATATATATATATATATATATATATATATCAACCTTCTCATCCATACAATTTATTAAAAATCACAGATTCATCGAATAAAATGTGAAACCTATAAAACTTTGTGATTTTCAATAAGAAATGTGTTGAAAAAGGTATTTCCCAAGATATATTCCTATTATTTATTTATCTATATATCGTCAAGTCAGAATAAGCCCAAAAAAGCAAACTATTGTAATTAAAATTTAAGGGTAACAATATTTGCATTTGGCAAAATAAAAATCACAATTCATATTAGAGCAACTCATAATTTTGGTTTTGAACTTAACTCTACCAAAAATTTAGAGGATTATAACTGAAAAGTCTCAAGCTACCCAATTTAGTCTTACTACACATTTAATCCTTTGCACGGTGAGTAGTAGTAAACCAGTTTAAGAACTTCTGCAGGTTTAGAAGCTGTCTAAAGAAAGAAGAAGTCCTTATTAAATATCATACTTCAATTCTAATTTCTAATTAAGAAACTGTTCTCAAAAGACATATTACAGAACTTGCTATCAAGAGAGATCAACACAACTAATAAAAAAAACCATGATTTTACATTATGATACTAATATCAGAGTTTAGTAACATGGAAGCTAATAGGATAGAGCAACCACAGGGCATCTTAAAACAAATCATATAAAGAAAAGAATAGCAATATGTACGTAAAATTTACTTTCATCCACAAGTCATGGCATAAAAAATCAACTGGAGTTTAAAATACAAGTAAGCCATAATAAAAGTCGGTATTGATAGCATGAAGATTCCAATATACTTAAAATTAAAGCCTAGGACCAACCAAACAGGGCACGAATAATACCAAGTATGCCACCACCAATGAGAGCTTTCAGCAATCTTTGCTTTGTACTTGTGTATGGTGGGTACCTTATTGCTGCATCACCAATAAAACTGCGATAGAGCACTGCTTTTTTGTGGCTAAAAGCATCAAACGAGAATTTCCCATGGTATGCACCCACTCCACTCTCACCAACTCCCCCAAATGGCAAAGTATGAACTGCAAGCTGCATCAGGCAAAAAAGCCAAACGGAAAACAGGAAGATGAATAATATTTTAAAACAATAAACAAAATGTGAGCATCTGTACACGAAAAACCCACATTTCATCTGAAGAAACTCATTTCAGTTTGAACCAACAAATACAAATGCATGGGGCGCAAACAAACACATTTCATTTATAAGATGCTCCTTAGTGTAGATAATTAAATCTGAAAAAACTTTTAAGATACAATTTTCAAGTTATTTTCTTTAAACTTCTATAGTAATACAATTGATCGCATGGCCTCTAGTCTTTACTTTTAGTCTTGAAGAAGATTTTAATGATAACTTATACTTCTGTTCTGGTTGCACATTAGATTCGGAGGTATTCAAGGGTAGAGTATAACAAGAAGAAAAAATTACATGTAAAGTAGTGTCATTAACAACCAAGCCGCCAGCTGAAATACTCATAACAAATCGCTCCTTGAGATTCTTGTTACTCGTAAATATATATGCAGCGAGAGGCTTTGGTCCTGAATTGATCACGTCAAAGCTTTCTTCCAGTTTGTCTACCTGTTTCAAGCAAAAGAAAATGGGCTTACCATAATAGGTATCAATCATTCTTGAGGCATTTGAAAAACTGTGCATATTTATTTTCATTTGATTACTCACTACTGTAAAAGCAAGCAACCAAAGAAACTAACGAGATTTTGAAGAAAATCTCACAACAATTAGTGTAGTGTAATGGTGTCTTAACACCTACCGTGAGGATGGGAAGTAAAGGACCAAATATCTCCTCGCTCATAATCAAAGAATCCCGTGGGACATCCAGTAGAACAGTGGGGCTAATCTTCCTTCCATTTTTGAGAAAAGAACAAATGCTAGAGTCAATATCTATTCTATTTTATTAAATCAAGAATTCATCAATGAAGTACCCGGAAACGTATATGGAGAACTTACAATTTGCTTTCATCCTTTTCGCCTCCGTAAACAATCTTACCAGAAACCTTATCATCATCCAAAAGTTTTGTCAAGCGATTAAAGTGATTGGAGTTCACAATACGGGACAAATCTTGTGATTCCATTGGCTTCTTCCCATAAAATTTCTCCAATTCAGTCTTTAGCGCATCCACCTATAATGAGGAGACAACAAACACTAAACAAACAGAAAACTTTAGAATTCAAACTACAATTAGGAAAAACTTATTACCAACTTGGGAGCATATTCTTTTGTTGTTATAACATAATCAGGAGAAATGCAGGCTTGTCCATTATTACAACCCCACTTTCCGGCAATTATTCGTCTTGTTGCTACCTTGACAATTCAAATGCAAATTAATTTAGATCAAAACTGAAGCGAAAAGACATCAGAGTGAAGACAAGTAGCTGATAAAAATAAAACATGACAAAGGTATACTTACCTTTAAATCGATATTTGAATCAACAACAACTGGAGATTTTCCTCCGAGTTCCAGCACAACTGGTGTAAGGTGTTTTGCAGCAGCAGCCATCACAACACGTGCCACTCGTCCATTGCCTAAAAATCCAATAATTATTTAAGGAATATTACCCGACCCAAGGATCATTGTCATATAACTTGCAAACATTAAAGAAAATCCAAGCATCAGATCCTTGACTATTGATAACAAACTGGATTTCTTGGATAAAACTGACACAAGACTCTTGACAATATGTCACAGATTACAAACAGTCACATAACTTGGTTAGTTGATCCTTAAGTTAGGAAATATGTATATAAGTTGGATGAGAGGAAAAAAAAAATATAATGTTGCTTTTTTCGTTTCTGAATGCACCTTTTGAATTATCCAAAAGGAGTATCAAAATTTGCATTATACATAATAACATAATGCTTGCTAATAGCTCATTCCAAAACAAAATCATTATAATGAATGATCTCTATGTAGGCCCCACATCACTTAGTGGGACAGAGATTTCACCAAAATAAAGACAGCTGAAAAATGTTTGTAAATGTGTATTCCTAAACAGCCTAACATGCCTCTATATATAACAGAGGAACAGTCAAAGGGAAAAAAATTGTCAACGAGAGAAACAAACTCATTTCAGGATTCTAAGCCGTCAAGAAAACAGAAGAGTTGCAAACAAGAACCTGTATAGAAAATTTTGTCCCATTTTTGCTGTAGTAACGCGGAGGTTTCATCAACTGCTCCCTCAACAACTCTAATACATGAGTTATCCATGTAGTCTCCCAGAAGTTTTGCCAGCAGTGATGATGTGGCCGGTGAAATTTCTGATGGTTTTAAAACCACAGCATTACCAGCGGCAATAGCTCCAATGACTGGATCAAGTGACAATACTGGAAAGATAGATGGATAATTTAATATTATCATCATCATAGATTTTGAAGAGCTTGGAGGCAAGAAAAAGGTGAGAAGTCAGATCAAAAGCATATGAACAAGGCCAACTAAACATTAACATACGGAAAGGGTAGTTCCATGCCGAGATCACCAACACAACCCCCAGTGGTTCAGATACTATTTCAGCTGAAGAAGGGAAAGTTGCGAGTGAAGTTTTGACCTGCAATAAAGGGAAATTCATATGATAAATCAAAAAGAATTGTGTCAGACGATATCAGCAAAGAAATTCAAATAAATATACCTTTTCGGGAGTTATCCAATGTTTCAATTCTTTGAGTGCAACTTTACACGAGTTTTTCAACATAGCAATCTGCAATACGAACTACCCCCAGTTACAGGATGGAAAATATCATACTTAACGCTAATGTTGAAAATATCAACAACCTAATAAGCAGCAGTCCGGAAACTACGTTTTCATTCTACTTTTTCAGATTCATGTCCTTATTAAAGAGACTCCAAAATGTTTGGTTAGTTGTAATTAGCAAATATTATTTCTGACATTAATCTGCAATAAAATTTTCAGTATCTTGGATAACATAGATATAGTGACTTTTCATATATAAGGGGTATTAATAATTGGATACACAGGACCACTGGTTGCACATCATCAGAGATCTCCAATCCATGGACACAGGACATAACAACCTTCTAAATTTCAGTAACATTCAAAATCAAGCGGAGAAAGTTTGAGAAACAAGTTAGGAAGGATTGAGCAGCCTAAGATATCAAAGTAAAAAATTTTAAAATTTTAAAACTAATTCGGTATGCATATACCCAATGAAAATTATCATTGCAATGTCAAGAGCTGTAATTATGAATTGTCTGCCATACATTTGGTATTAGTCAAAAACATAACATAAAACACCAAGACCAAGACCTCAGGATCTTCTCCAATCGCAAAGATTTTCTATTTCTTGTAACAGATTTGGGAGGTGAAGATGCACTACTTAAAGATAAGGCATGCCACAGCTTAATAGGTACTTGATTGGACTATTTACATTGATTACATTTCAATCCTACCAGTTTAGCTAACCCTGATTGGCACATATTTTCCTGCTTAAACAAGCACACAATGCGTGAATTGCATTATCCTTGAAAAGTAGTTCCAATTATGTGGGCATGTGCCATTTAGTAACTTCATATACTAAATAGCCAGAGGCATCTCTCAGCTAACTGAGATCCTTTTTGTCAACTGCGTGAAAGAATTGAAGTGCTTCTGAACAACCAAAAGGGCAAGCTCCGCACCAACATCCAAATAACACTAGTTATGATATTCATACACTCAACTTCTCTTACAATGTGATTTCACTTGTGCATGTTCCTATCCTCCCTTTTTGTTTCGTATCACCTTACTATCAGATTATCAGTTTCTTTTTCTCTCTCTCTTTTTTTTTTTTATATATATCTCTCTTTCTTTCTTCCACGTACCCAAAATTAGGGTGTACGTTAAACAGTTTTCAAAAATCATATCATACATGCTCAATTTAATTTAAAAAGAAAAATCAGAAAATCTAATAGAGCAAGGACATAGTGTGCTGTAACAACACAGCCAGTGACAGTAGTTTAAGTAAACACTTTGACTGCTCTACATTAAACGACACTGGCAACAAATTCAGGCATTTAACCAACGAAAAATGAAAATATTGTCATTCGGAAACCAGTCACAAACTACTTTTATTACTATTATTATTATTATTTAACAGTCATGATTCACCTTTTACACAGGGAAGATATGCATATAACTCTTATTACAATTTAAATATATTTTTAAAAGCAATAACTACTTTCATTCTCTGTCCATTTTTAGTTATCTGGAATCAGCCACAAGTACTGGCATGGCATTAACAAAATCCATGGATTAAAATAGCCGAAGTCACCTATCCTAAATTCACAGACAAACAATGAGGCCCACCAATTGACGCACATTAAAAGTGCGACGCAAGAGTGCGCCATTAATGCTCAAACCAAACCCACCCTGACCAAGCCACCAGAGGCAAAGAAACGCGAACCCCAATCATCACAGACAAATCACCAACCAATAAACTCAATTATACCCTTTCAAGAAAATTAAAATTAAATAAACAAATAGGGATATCCCGAAAAAAGCACAACCCAACACGTCAACACTGCACACAAAAAGCATTGCTAAGAAAAAAAAAAAAATCTGAGGCCGTGACACGCTGCATCACTCAGTCACCGTAATAAATGAACCGCACAAAATCTCTATCACGAAATCCACCAACGAAGAACGGCTTTCAAAATATTCCTCTTCCACTACCGAGGTCAAACGACACGCACCAGAAACATAGACAAAGCAAAACGCAGAGAGTAACAGTGAGAATGGAATAAACAACAGCACCTCGTAAGCCACAGTTTCTAGCGGCGGCTTCGCGAGGTCGTTTCGGAGCGCGTCGACGATCTGCGGCTCGTGATCGGCGACGAGTTTCGCTAGCGTTTTGAGCTGCGACACTCGCCACTGGTAACTGCGCGTTTTGCCCGAAGCGAAGGCTGTACGTAGCTCCATGACGAGCTGCGATGCCGCCGGCGCGTCGAACTCACTCGCTTTGGACTTCATTTTATCTGAGTCCTGAGACGACATTGCTGGTATGCGTGTCGCGGGCAAAATGACGCGACGAGGTAAGAGAAGCAGAGAAGTAAAAAAAATGTGGTGCAGTGTTGAACGAGGATGTCCAATTTTATAGCTTACACAAAACAAAACAAACAAAGAACAAGTTTACTTTATATATATATATATATATAACTTGTTCTAGTTCAACTTTAGAAGCTTTTCACAAAAGAATAATATCAATGATTAATTAATAAAATATCAATATATTGATAAAATGAAAATTTGAATCGATATGTTTACCCTACTATTAACTATGGATAAAAAAAATGTGTTACATGTTTCTTAAAGTGAATACCTTTCTTTATTCAGAAACAAATTTGTCATGATATGACATGTTATCAACTTATCATGGTTAACAAGGATTCAATGGTATGCTTTCTTATTTAATTTATATGCTATTTTTATTGGTTGATAAAAAACAAAAATATTATAAGACAATATTTTATGTTTGATACACGATACGAGAATACTCCAATAATGCTCTTAAAATATATCACTACTATTTGATATTTCAATTGAATCGATTTAAAGAATTTAAGCCAGTAGTATTTGTAAATAAATAACATAATATATTTTAGTTTTTACATAATTTAAAATATTGATCACGTTGATTAGATAGAAATACATGAACATGGACAATTTATTACATGTTGATAACTATTATTTTTTAATATATTTTAATGTTTTCTATAAAAGTTATTAAATTGTATTTAATTCATTTAACACTTATTAATTTTAATGAAAATATTTTAATATTTTTTATGAAAATTAAGTATAATTATAAAGTTTACAAATACACAGACTAAAATATTAATATACAATTTAGATACTCTTATTTGATGATGATATTCATTTCTATTTTATTTAATGTATATTAATTGTATAATTTAATTTATTCTGATTTTTCCTTATATATTTTTATTCTATTTTAAAAAACACAAGGATATTACTTATTTACAAATTATAAAAGTGAAGTAATGGTTGATAGGTTATGGGAGGAGAGTAGGCACACGTTAATTGAAGCGCGTGGCGAAGAAGAAAGTTGCGTGTTTAATGTCCATCGCATACGTTTTGTTTGTTTTCGATCGTTTGGTGGTCCTAACACATCCTCTTCACAGTTGTTCGTTAATAATAAGATTTTAATATATATATATATATATATATATATATATATATATATATATATATATATATATATTAATGGTATCAATTGAAGTTTTTATGCGTCAAAATAATATTTTATTTTATCAATTCAATATTCAAATATTTGTATTTTTATTGATTAAAATTTGTTAAAATAATATTATTATAATATAATAAAATAATTTAAAAATTTTAAATTGTGATAGCTAAACAATCTAATTCGTGTAGTAAGAATATAAAGCGTTAAAGTCCCAAATTCATAATACAAAAGGATTATGTTAATATAATTGAAAATTATAAAATTAAAATCACATAACTGTAATATCAGAAATAAAAAAAGTTTATATATATATATATATATATATATATATATTATTGAAAATAAAAGAAAAAGTTGACCTCGAGAAGTTAATGAGAAGCCATCTACAAAGTCATTCCTAATATTTTATTATGCGAAATTGTATTAACAAACATCTATGTGTTACCTCTCTTTTCTCTTATTGGTAAACCACTTGTGTTTAAAAACCACCAATGTCGTACCTATGATGTTACATATAATTTTATTTATACGAACTAATTTTAAGCAATAACTTTTAATAATATATATATATATATATATATATATATATATATTAATTTATTTGATATTAATTGTAAAATACTAACAACCGAAGAATAGATTAGATTGTGGTTCCAACAACATCATCAGTTTAGTCATTCTTTACATCTTAAACTATCTCATTTTAATTTAAACATAATTGAAGAGGTGGAAGAACAATAAAATGCCATCATAATCATTCCTTGTGTTTTCTTGTTACTTAAGAAAAATACCTAATTTTTGGACTCGTAAGTAGATGTAAATTTCTTGACATTAGTTGATTTTTAAGTTTTGGTCGCGAGTTATTAATGTCACCATCAATAAAAGATAGCATTTATTATGTTTTATTTATTTATTTATAGAGGATAAGAAAGGAATTGTCCCTAAAACCGTTTATAATATTTTGTTTCTCTAAACTAAAAATATAGTATTGGTTAATAGCAGTAAGTGGTTACATTACAATATGTACCAATCAATGTTGATAAAATATAATACTCGATCCTGAAACTCGTTTAAGGGACAAATCGTACCATTCATGTCAATAATAAAATATAATATTTATTATTGTTAGTTTATTTTTCTCGTTTATCTAATGGATTTTGTTCTTATTTCAATGTCATTTTTCTTCCTTCCTACCCATTCGTGACAGGTTGTGGATAATATATTGTAAATTAAAAAAAAGAGTGTATATTTATATTATTATTATTCGTGTACAAACTTTTAGTTCTATTCATCACATCATCTATTTTATTTTATATTTCTTTTTATTTTTCAACAAATTGTACAAATTTAACCTATCAATTCTATATGCACAAATATATGTCTTTTTAGGACTTTTTATCTGTACTTTTAAGAATGATGTTTTTGACAATCATATTTGTTTTAAAATATCATAAATATATTTAATATGTTAAAAATACCTTTGAAAATAATATTAAAAAAATCTTCCTTAAAAATTTTATTATCATTTATTTATGTCGTTAGCAATTTAAATCGATCATATTAATATTATATAAGAAAATTTAAATAAACTACGTGACACTATTTTTTATTTTTTTCTTCCAAATTTCAATTTTTTTTTTCAAAATTTCAAAACTTTGTTAATTTTTGAGATTTATATGTTATTTAAATTTTGAAAAATTTTTATTTACACAAACTGTCAGTGAAAATTTTAAAGGAATTAACGTATTTTTGTGAGAATAATTTTTAAAATATTATTTTAAAAATAATAAATTTAATATTTTCAATTTAAAATTTAAAATTTAAAATTTCTAGAAAGCATAAAAGAATCAATCCATCAAATACAGTTACATAAATTAAAAAAGAAAAAAAAATTATAGTTTTGAGAGTGAGAGAACGAGTACCTCTTGCACAAAGGCTTCAGTTTGGGACTTGGATAGATCCGAGTGAAGAGCTTGAACTATGTCTTTCTCATGTTCTTGAGTCAACTCGATGAGGGCCTTCAACTGGGAAGTTCTCCATTCGTAGCCATGCGTCTTGCCACAATCAAACGTTGCTCTCAGTTGCTCAACCATGGCTGAAGCTTCTTCTGAACCAAACACAACTTTGCTCTTGGTGTTCGACGCCATCTATGTACAACAAAGAATTCGGACAACACAGAAATGTTTTCTAGGCTTCACAAATCAGAAACATATATAAATCTAAAAATGTAATGACAAAATGACAAAGATTATTATCGTAATATATTTATTATATAGTTTGTCATTAAGGTTTTATTCTTATAATTGTAATATTGTCATTACTCACTTTATATATCATAGTGTGGTCCGACGGAGGGAGCTAGTTGAGTCTATTGTCTTTTGCTTAGGAGTTTTTAGTGGAATTGTCTATGCTCTATATATTTTAATTATTTTTTTTATTGGAATGTACAAGTTATAATTGAAAATATCTTAAAATATATTTATGATTTAACTGAAAAATAAAAAAAATAAAAGTCAACAAATTTATATATATACTCATACAATAAGCATATTTATGATATAACTTTTTAGAATAATTCTGCATTTTATGATTTTTCAATCTCAAATTATATGAGTTCATTTATTAGTCTTTGAATTTTAGGTGAGTTGGAGATAGATGATTAAAGGTTAACTTTTAATAGCTTTGTTAAATGCATTTATCTTATGTTCTTTTCATCTATATATTATTAATATGGAACGAACATTGAGTGATTTTTGTGCATATATAACATATTTTATATTATCAATATGTCTTGAAGTTATATAGACGTGCATAAATTTATGAAGTTTTTATTTTTAAGATATATTTATAAATATATAATTAAATATACATTAACACCAATAACTATAAATACTTATCCACTAATTTATATTTTTGTAAAATTAAAATACAATAAACAAATATATTAACAGCTATTAAAAATATAAATGAAAACCTTAATACTCTTTTTTGGCATATGGTATTTAATGTGTAATGTTAAAAATTAAAAAGAATTTAAAAGTATTATATTAGAATCTATTATATATAATGTCAATATTCTTAATTAATAATTTAATATTATACTATATTAGATTTAAAATTTCTATTAGTATTTTTGTATTTAAAATTTATTTGTTGAATAAATTAATTAAATTTATTCTAACGTTTGTATTTCATTTTATAGAAAAAGTTTTTTTTCCCTAAAAAGAAGTTGCGTTAGTGAAGAAAAAGTTAAATGGTTAAATTTTTATTAAAGTTATTTACGATGTAAGAATCAATACAATTTATATTAAGAACTTTCAATTTTAGCAATAGGAAGAAAATTATTAGATAAGAAGTGAAGCCTATTAAATTTGATGTTTTCCAATAAATTATAAGAGTTTTATATAAAAAAGATTGTGTCAGTAAAAGTGTAAGGTAACAAACATTTGTCTAAATTCTTAATTTAGTTGAATTCCACATCTTACTATTCAGCAATGCAAATTCTACTTCTCGTTTTCTTTTCACACATTTATCGTAAAAATTTCCATTTTTGACCGAAATTCCGCCGCAGAAGTTTAATTCAAACACCTCAGCGGCGTCTCTGAGAAAACTGCGACTGAGCGCGCTTCAATGTGTTTATCAATGGCGGATAATAACAGGGTTTCGATTTGTTTCTTCGTGTCCTTTCTTTCCCTCTTCGCATCGTTTTCCACTCAGATCTCCGCCAAGAAGGACTTCGTTCTCTCCTTGGGAAGCTCCAACTTCTCCGACACCGTCGCCAAACACAACTTCATCGTAGTGGCTTTCTACGCACCTTGGTACGTTGATATTTTTTTCTGCTTTAACGTTTACCGCTTTTGCAGATCTCACTTTTTAATCTCCGTTTTCTTTGTTCTTTTTAAGGAACTTGAATAATTCCTTGACATTTAATCTCCGGATCCACGAGTATGGAGGGAAAAATATTTATATGATTTGGTGGACCCCACCTTCTGTACCTGGGGAGAATACTTTCCTGTTTGGAGGATATTAAAAATTATAGAATTTTGTATTTTTATATATTTTAATTAAAATATATATGTTCTTTCAGTTTTTTAATCATCATTTGGCAAAGAAAGATTTTAAATCCTTTTACAAAACAATTCTACTTTCAATTTCATGACAAGCAGTTTTAACGCTTTAAATTGCATTTACTTTTATATAGGTAGTAGGAAGATTTATAAGACAGTTATTACACAAAATGATAACAATACATTGACACAATTTTTATTGATTAAAATATACCAGAAAGTATAAACTTTGCTTACTGATTATATTTATTACCTAACAGTATTATATATATATATATATATATATATATATATATATATATATATATATTCAAAGTTTTAATTTTACAAAACTTAGAAATGGACACTTTTCTTAAATCTTACATTTTGAATATAATAGTGAAAACAAATTTAAAAGACTAAAACCTTTTGAATGATGATTGTAATAGAGAATGTATTATCTGCACTTCTCTTGTTTAATATATTGATTTAAATTTATTTTTTATGATTGAAATTCTTTTTCTGGCTGTGCTTGGGCCACGAATTTGCTGTAACGAGAGAAGTGAGAACTGGGCATGCTGAAAAGTGAAAGTGGTTTCTTTTCCCTTATTATGTAATATATATAGAGATTCATATATAGGCTTGATAAATGTGTGGTTATATTTTTTTATATAATCCAGTTTTAATTAGTGAGGCTTGCATGAATTTCAACTATTAAGAGAGTTGAAATGAAAAGAGAGTGCTGCAAAGTGCTTTGTTGGTACTCCTCTGTGATTGACTATGCGCTCAGTCATTGAACTCATTATTCTGGGTATTCTTTTAACTGTTGCTGTATTTTAACAATTTTCTTTCTCTTAACTCAAGACTTAATATTATTAATTTTCGTTTTCTTCACTTTCTAGGTGTGGCCACTGTAAGAAGCTTGCTCCCGAGGTATATTTTCAGCTTTTATTTTTAGTTTAAGGTTAAGTTCATCTGCTAAGGTTATGTGAACAATACTGATTTTTATAATGTTTTGTTCCTGCAGTATGAGAAAGCTGCTTCTATCTTGAGTAGCCTTGATAATCCGGTTCTTTTGGCTAAAGTTGATGCCAATGAGAAAAAGAACAAAGGAATTGCAAAAGAATTTAAGGTGCAGGGATTTCCAACGATTAAGATTCTAAGAAATGGGGGCAAGGTTGTTCAAGATTACAAAGGTCCCCGTGATGCAAGTGGCATTGTTGACTATTTAAAGAAGCAGAGTGGTCCTGCAACAGCTGAAATTAAATCTGCAGAGGATGCTACCATTTTGATTGAGGAAAAGAAAGTTGTTATTGTAAGTGATCTTTCATCATGCTTTTATGTTGGCTTTGTTTTGTGTTGGCCTTTAATAATCTTGTTTTCCATTATTCACAGGTTGGGGTTTTCCCAAAATTTTCTGGGGAGGAGTTTGAGAACTTTGTTGCATTGGCAGAGAAATTGCGTTCTGAATATGATTTTGGTCACACCTCGGATGCCAAACACCTTCCACACGGAGAATCATCCATGACTGGGCCTTTTATTAGATTGTTCAAGCCATTTGATGAACTTTTTCTTGACTTCCAGGTAACCTTTGATTTCTGCTGATAAATTTCTTATATATGTAATTAATGTTATGTTTATCTCATTTGGTTGTGTATACTAACTGTTTCATGCTTATAGGATTTTCATGTGGAATCCTTAGAGAATTTTGTTCGAGAATCTAGTGTCCCGGTTGTGACTGTCTTTGATAGTGACCCGAGCAATCACCCTTTTGTGGTCAAATTCTTTGACAATCCAAATGTAAAGGTGATATGCTACTATCACTATTTAATTCCTTCGAGTTATATTGTTACACTGTTTTTATATTGGTACCTACTTTCTCTTTCTATTATTCCTTTTCTACTTTGTTTTCATGACACTTTCCTATTTCTAAATATTTATTATTCTCTTCGCTTTGTTCCCCTCACCCCTATTTTATATCCGCATTTATTGACTGACAAAAATTTATAATTCAATGACAAATATTTATTTCTTTATTTATGGCAGGTGTAATGTATGTAGGGTTAGGTCATCACTCCTGAAAATTAGAATTGACTTTAGTTTTCTGCCATCCCACTTAACGAGTGATTAAGTTTTCTTTAAATTCTTTTTAATAAATTTTTGGTATAGGTTCTGGTATGTTGTTCTTATTACTTGTTTATTAATAGTTAGGCATGAATTTTGCAATGAAATCTCTTTAATGAGATTTTATTTTTGCTGAAGTCTTGCCAGTTTTCAACCACTTGAGCCTTGATTTGTTTGTTTGTTTGTTATATATATATATATATATATATGATCTGCTAACACTGCTTTGTTGAGATGATCCATGGGCATGCGCCTTTACATAATAGAATTTTGTATCATTTTTTTTGTTTAGTTCTCTAGTGTTCTACAATTCTAAATTCTATTTTGAAATTGTTAGGCAATGATGTTCATGAACTTCACCGCTGACACGGCTGATTCTCTCAAATTAAAATACCGTGAATCTGCCAAGGAATATAGACAACATGGCATAAGCTTTCTGTTGGGAGATGTTGATGCTAGTCATGGTGCATTCGAGGTTTGCATCAAAAGATTGCACTCGGATTCTAGATTTATCTTGGTATAAAGTCAATATTTGACATCACGATTTTGGCTTGTTCTGCCAGTATTTTGGCCTGAAGGAAAACCACGTGCCTCTAATCGTAATTCAAAATACTGATGGGAAGAAGTTTTTGAAAACTAATGTGGAACCTGATCACATTGCAACTTGGTTGAAAGAATACAAGGTGATGCTCATTTCAATTAGTAACATATATCTTTTTCTTGCTTAATTTGGTTGGATCTTTGGATCTTTATTTTTAGTAATAGGAGGTTAAATAATATCTTTAGTTTAAAATTTTAAAATAAATGTATTCTTTTTGTTATGTATCTCAGTTTGTTTCTTTTTATCAAATCACCCCATATATCTGTGTATAATTTCAGGATGGAAATGTTCAACCATATAAGAAGTCTGAAACTATTCCTACAGTTAATGACAAACCTGTTAAAGTTGTAGTTGCAGACAGTTTTGACGACATTGTTTTCAACTCAGGGAAAAATGGTATATATTTGAAGTATTACATACTATTACTATGAATGCAACAATGACCCTTTATATGTTGAAATTGAAGCTAGTTTTATTAATTGTCATTATACATTGATTATAAATTGTATCATTGCTAAATTAAAATTGTCATTTTTTAATTATTTTGCTGCTAATTAGATAAAAATTGATCATCACGTTTAAATTAAAGAGGATTTGATTGAACCTTTAATGAACAGTAACACTAAATTGAATGAAATAAATAAAAGCTTTCATCTAAAACTGACCTCTTGATTGTCTGAAGCTGGCTTGTGGCTAAAGAAATATCCTGTTTATGTGGAAAATAAACTGTTCTACAATTTTGTTACTATTTACTTTCTTTGCACTTTTAGTATGTGGAATACGTGTACTTAACTCGTATTATGCATCTGCAATTGTCTATAAATTGTACATCTAAATTATTGTCTCACATTGACGATAAATTTATTAACACTACTAAAACAAACACCGTGCAGTTTTTCTTGAGTTTTATGCTCCTTGGTGTGGTCATTGCAAAAAGTTTGCCCCAATATTGGACGAAGTTGCTGTTTCATATCAAAGTAATCCTGATATTATCATTGCAAAATTGGTAAGAAATGTATCTTTATAAGTTCATGATTGTGCCTATATTTTAATGAATCACTTTGCACCATTACACAGCTCGAAGACAGATCTGATAAACTAATAGCCACCCAAATCGTATATACAGATTTTACAGAAATAAACTTTGATGAAATTACTTTTCTTTCTAATAATTTTGCTAATGTTTTTGTACACTTCCTTTCCAGGATGCAACTGTCAACGATATACCACACGAGACTTTTGATGTACAAGGTTATCCAACTGTATACTTCAGGTCAGCAAGTGGAAAAATATCACACTTTACTGGAATTAGGACAAAGGAAGAAATCATGGATTTCATTGAAAAGAACATGGATAAAGTGGATCAACAAGAACAAGTAAAAGATGAGCTTTGAATAAGGTGAATATGTGTGCATATCATTAGTTCCTCTTCCCTTTCTCATTTGATTGCCTCAACCAACCATAAATTATGTCTTCCAGAGTTCCTCATTCACGTTTTGATTTTGTTGCTTTTCCTTTGCAGGGTTCCTACTGGTCTTTCTGAGCATATTTACAGAAAGTTATATGTAGGATCTCCATATCTTCATATGTTTAAATTAAGTATCGTCGTAGATATTTTTTTTTTTTTTTAATATCTTTCATCCTTTTAGTTCTGTCTTCAATCATACATTTTTGTCTGAACAAAATGAGAGTTTTATTCTTTTTACTTGGCGTAGCTTGATAATAAAATAGTGCGGCTTTAAAATCCTTTGATCATTGTTAATTCAGTAGATGTGTATAGATCGCCATTGAATTTTCCATATCACTTTTCCTTGTAAATAGTACTTGTTCTCAGTACGTGGATCTCAATAGTACCACTCTTCCCTGCTTCTTGCAATAATTAGGCCATGTTTGGCAAGGCTTTAGTGACAACTTATATAAGAACTGTTGTTTTACTGTGATTTAATTTTGATTCGTCATGTGACCTTTGTCTATGAGAAAAGTGAGAAATCAAAGTATTTTTTGATGTTGCTGTCAGATGATCAAACAAAAGGGTTAAAAAAAATTGCATTATTTTAAAAGGGGTTGTAAAAATGTGAATTTAGAGCTTTTGGCTAAAATATATGTACTTGAAGGCACGTGGAAGAATTTGTTAGACGTCTCTCTCATTGTTGCTCCTATATAACATCTAAGGAAAATTGCAGAAGCTGAACACGATTTACTTACTACATGGCATTCTTTGATAGTAGGGTTCTTTGTTTAACACTAACCTAAACGGTATTTTCATCTTTTGTTAGGTATGATAATTTAATATATATAAATATATTTTTTATTCCAACACCAAGCTTAAGCTTCAACATTTTGAGTCTTCCTCAGAAGCTGTGTATCATTACTGAAAATGCAGGTGATGGTATATGATTGTGTACACAGCAGCTAGAGAGAGTTCCAAAATCGCAATATTGTAGTTACAATTGTAGTTACAATTGTAGATACAAACTGCAATTTAAAACCATGGTCTGGACATAGTGCAGTTATGTTGTTAATGCTATCTTTATTATTGGCACTGTGAGAAGTTAAGGATCTTTCACCACAAACATCTTCTTCACCAGAATTGTCAAAGCATTTCAGAAAGCATGGTTGAAGCTTCTTTAAATCTGATGCCTGCAGAGGCTTCAAAAGAAACTCCTCTGCCCCTCCTTCTAAACACCTGTCATAAAACACATTCTCATGTATAAAGATCTTAGACACAATATAGAAGAATTAAGCTTTTTATTCATCCAAAAATAAATGGATAAAGTTTACTATAATTTATAGACATTATTCAACTACTATATGTACTCAACTTCTTTTCTACAAGATAAACACTATCCAACTATTTGAATTAGATCCTTTATTACAATATAAACATACATATATATGACACCCACCACAACATTTTTTTCCTTGCTATAACTTGTATGATGAATGATATGTTTATGTTTAGTTGTTTCAATTAACTTATACTTTATTTAATTAAATCATCTTTATTTTACTTTCTTATACTGTTTTTATTTTTCTAAAATTATATAAAGTAGGTTTCAATTTATAACTATTATTAACTTTATCTTCAATTTTAACATTATTCTTCTCTCATCTTCTCCTTTAACATTGTACTATTTATTTTAATAATTTCATTTACTATTGTATTATTTATGTTAATAGATAAATAGTCAAAACTACTAGATGTTATGTTGTCTTTTGAACATTGTCAAGTATTAATAAAATAAAAATTAAGTAAAATAAAAAAACTTACATGCTGATTCTGGATGGTTCGTTTTCTGATGACATTATGACTACTGGTACATCTTTCCAAGAAGATCCCTGCAGCTGTAACAAATGTCAACAAAAGCAAAAATGGAAAACAAAAAGAACAAATAATTAAAACAAAAGAAAAAAGAAAAAGGTAAACTTTGATACTCAAACCTCATCTTTTCCTTTTCTTTTTTTTCTTCTTTCCCTTTTTAGTCTACACCTAATTTTTCTTTTTACGATATTATAAATTTGTAATAAATCTATTGTTGATTTACTCAGCAATTAGAACACAAATTTCTTTAATCTTTTTTTCAAAGGTTGAAACTCCAATCTTAATTACATCTCACAACTGTTTTTCAAATTTTTACCAGTTTTTTTCTTAAACTGTTAAAATATATTAAATTCATCATGAAAGATGATAATTTAGGATTACAGAGAGAGAAAATGACAAATGAATGGAACTTAATTTTAAACAAAAAGTACACTCGATCAAAAGAAAACTTAGAAGCAGATATTCTTTACGTTATTGAGAAACATTATGAACATAATCTGAACTGTTGATTAACGGGGAAGGGGAATGGAACTTAATTTTGACCTTGATTCGTTTCAGTAAATCATAGCCACTCATTCCTGGCATGCAATAATCTGTCATGATCATATTCACTTTCATTCCCTGTCATTCAAAACATTCAACAGCACATGTTCTTAATTTCACAACACATTATACTCACTAAAATCATACATCTCATTAGAATTTACAAGGAGAAAAATAACCATGATGGGCAAGCATATAGAGAGACATTTTTTTTTAATAATCATGTTATATACTTACTTAATAATCCTAACCTTGATTAAGGTATCATCATATTTATCTATCCATTATCCTATCTTCTTTAATTTTCAATTTTTTATCTCTCTTTTTCCATCATCATCATCATCATCATCCGTACTTGGGTTCACATTTTTCGCAATCAAATAACTCATAAATGGGAGTTTCATAAGAAAATGCAATGAAAAAGGTTCCACCTTTTATTTTTCAAGAAAACAGATCAAATTACTTATAGGTTTTCAAGAAAATGCCTGTATATTGAGGAAGATAAGCTTTTATACATTTTCATACATATAATATAAGTGGTCTGAATAAATAGAATAAAATTTTCACTATTATATAGAAAGTCGTTTTAAGGTTAAGATGTAATTGTGTAACTAGTAGCATAAGCTTCAAATTCAAGATGTTTACATTACCAACATTACAAGAAAATGATAATATTTGTTTCTGACAAAAAAAAAAAGAACAGAAATAGTATCAGTTAAAAATACAAGGGAAGAAGTGAAGGAGAAAGAAAGAAAGAAGATTATTACGTTTTGTTGCAATGATTCTGAAGAAGTTGAGGAAGCATTATCAAGTTCATCATCGAGCAGGCCAAGATATTTCAAAGCCTTGTCTCCAGAATCCAGGAAGGTGGCTGCTTCAAACCAAACCAAAACCACACATAACATCAAACATAAATTGAATATTTAAGCAGACACAAATGGCATAAGAATTGAGATGAGACCAATGATCCAGGGCCAAAGTCATAAAACTAAACCTTGAGAAAAACAAAAATGAAGAAAGACTAGGTACCTTTGCATGAAGAATCTCTTAGGAGCCTCTCCAAAAGCTTCCTATCTATGACACTGTCATCTACCACCAACACATGAATATGTTGTTGTTGTTGCTGTTGTTGGTTATTCCCAAGCTCCATCTCAGTTGTGTTCAGAGCAGATAAACAATCTTTTTAACCTGTTAGTTAACTTGTCTACTTGAAAACACCTTTATATTTTACTCAATGTGTGTGTGTGTGTCTGAGAGAGACAGAGAGAGAGAGAGGATGAAAAAGAGAGAAACGTGGTGAATGAGAATGAGAGGTGGCATGTAATTGTCTTTAGCTTTTTTCTATAAAAGTGGGTGCATGAGAGGAAAAACTGTATAGGCACAGAAGCAAGCTTATGTGAGCTAATCCATGCTATGATCTTGACCCTAGATTCTCTACTAGATTAATACAACTACCACTCGTAACTTTCTCTCTTTTTCCACTTTCAATTGGATTTTATTTGATTGCCAAGGGGAAAAAGCCAAGATCTTTGTTCCCAATTCGATCATCATCATGGTGGAAAAAGGGTTGATTTTGGGTGTGGATATGTTTAATGGACTATATTTGTCAAAGACTTTGAAAATTAAGGCAACTTCTTTCTCATTACATCATTAAAGTGCTTTTCTTTTCACCTCAATTTCCTCAATTGTATTTTACTTTATTGGATTTCTGTTCAATTAGACGATTTACTTACTGATAAAAGGAAGTTTTAAAAGTAAAAATCATAATTTATTATGACTACTATTACATCATTTTGCAAAATTTCTTACAAAATCTTAATTACACTATTTACAAAGAAAATATAAAATAAAAATATATATGTTGAATATATTAAAATATAAAACTTACTAATCATATAAAGAAAGTAAAAAGATATAAGGATATATAGAGTTATTAATTTGTTTAATATTTGTATTGTGCTTGTTCTTAACATTATTATTTGTACTTTCACTTTAAAATTCCATTTTATAGAAATTTTTTCTACAGTAACACGTATTCATTTTTTAATTACTGAAATAGCATATTGTAGGTTTTATTTACCTAGATAGCACAGCTTTTTTGTCAAGATGAGAATTCGATTTTCCGGAAAACGAAACCTAAAGGTAATTGGATTTTATAATTTTTACAAACAATTCAGAATTCGATTTTTCGACAACCGAATTCTGAACAGTTTTCTTTTTATTTTGTTAAGAAAAAAAACTAACTAAATATATATATATATATATATATATATATATAAAATATGTTATAGTATTTTATTTAACATTTATAGTTTTAAATTAGGTATTTAAAAAGATTTGTATATTTCTAAAATTAATTATATATTTAGATTTGTTGTTGAAAGTAGTAAAATAATATTTTTAAAATATATTATATATATTATATTTAAATTTATTTGTATGATTAAACTTTTTTTAATTTTTTGATTTATTTGATATTATAAATTTTTTAGAAATTAATAATAAATTAGGAGGATAATAAAAATCTTAAAAATTATATGTATATAAGAAGAAGTTATACTTTAGAGAATAAATATATATATATATATATATATATATATATATATATTAAAATATAATTTATTTTTAAGTTGATAATTTTTATTTTTATTTATGTAAATTTTATATATAAAATTAATTTAGAGTTCATATATGTAATTTTAATTTATGTAATATATATATATATATATATAATTTATATAATATATATAATTTATTTAACATTAAAAATAATTATATTTTTATTAATTTTATAATTATAATTTTTTTAAGGTTATAATTTTAAATATAATTTTTTTAACTTGATATTTATAATTGATATAATATATATATATATATATAATTTAAAAATAATTATTTTATTAATTTTAAGTTGATATATTTTTTTATTTATAATTATTTAATATATATTTGAAAAACTAATTGATTATTTAAAAATTAATCAATTATTTAAAAAAATAACTGATTCACATCAAGTATGAAAAAATCAAGTATGAAAAAACTAATCAATTATTTTTTGAAATAATCGATTAGTTTTCTAAATAGTTTAAAATATATATATATATATATATATATATATATATATCTTAAAAGTGACATATATGATAGCGGTTAACGTGAACCGCTCTTAAAAGTGACATATATGATAGCGGTCCCATTTTACAGCTATCTAAAAGAACTGGTTCTCAAATTCTGATCGATTACTTTTTGAAATAATCGATTAGTTTTCGAATAGTTAAAAACTATAATTTTATTTATGTAAATTTTATATATAAAATTAATTTAGAGTTCATATATGTAATTTTAATTTATGTAATATATATATATATATATATAATTTATATAATATATATAATTTATTTAACATTAAAAATAATTATATTTTTATTAATTTTATAATTATAATTTTATTAAGGTTATAATTTTAAATATAATTTTTTTAACTTGATATTTATAATTTATGTAATATATATATAATTTAAAAATATTTTTTTTTATTTTAAGGTCATATATTTTTTTATTTATAATTATTTAATATATATTTGAAAATCTAATTAATTATTTAAAAATTAATCAATTATTTAAAAAAATAACTGATTCTCATCAAGTATGAAAAAATCAAGTATGAAAAAACTAATCGATTACTTTTTGAAATAATCGATTAGTTTTTTAAATAGTTAAAAAAAAAAATATATATATATATATATATATATATATACATATATATAGTTTAAAAGTAACATATATGATAGCGGTTAACGTGAACCGCTCTTAAAAGTGACATATATGATAGCGGTCCCATGTTTACAGCTATCTAAAAGAACCTGGTTCTCAAATTCGATCGATTACTTTTTGAAATAATCGATTAGTTTTCGAATAGTTAAAAACTATAATTTTATTTATGTAAATTTTATATATAAAATTAATTTAGAGTTCATATATGTAATTTTAATTTATGTATATATATATATATATATATATATATATATAATTTATATAATATATATAATTTATTTAACATTAAAAATAATTATATTTTTATTAATTTTATAATTATAATTTTATTAAGGTTATAATATTAAATATAATTTTTTAACTTGATATTTATAATTTATATAATATATATATAATTTAAAAATAATATTTTTTTATTTTAAGGTCATATATTTTTTTATTTATAATTATTTAATATATATTTGAAAATCTAATTGATTATTTAAAAATTAATCAATTATTTAAAAAAATAACTGATTCTCATCAAGTATGAAAAAATCAAGTATGAAAAAACTAATCGATTACTTTTTGAAATAATCGATTAGTTTTTTAAATAGTTAAAAAAATATATATATATATATATATATATATATATATATATATAGTTTAAAAGTAACATATATGATAGCGGTTAACGTGGAATCGCTCTTAAAAGTGACATATATGATAGCGGTCCCATGTTTACAGCTATCTAAAAGAAATGGTTCTCAAATTCTGATCGATTACTTTTTGAAATAATCGATTAGTTTTCGAATAGTTAAAAACTATAATTTTATTTATGTAAATTTTATATATAAAATTAATTTAGAGTTCATATATGTAATTTTAATTTATGTAATATATATATATATATATATATATAATTTATATAATATATATAATTTATTTAACATTAAAAATAATTATATTTTTATTAATTTTATAATTATAATTTTATTAAGGTTATAATTTTAAATATAATTTTTTTAACTTGATATTTATAATTTATGTAATATATATATATAATTTAAAAATATTTTTTTTATTTTAAGGTCATATATTTTTTTATTTATAATTATTTAATATATATTTGAAAATCTAATTGATTATTTAAAAATTAATCAATTATTTAAAAATATAACTGATTCTCATCAAGTATGAAAAACCAAGTATGAAAAAACTAATCGATTACTTTTTGAAATAATCGATTAGTTTTTTAAATAGTTAAAAAAAAAATATATATATATATATATATATATATATAGTTTAAAAGTAACATATATGATAGCGGTTAACGTGAACCGCTCTTAAAAGTGACATATATGATAGCGGTCCCATGTTTACATCTATCTAAAAGAACTGGTTCTCAAATTCGATCGATTACTTTTTGAAATAATCGATTAGTTTTCCGAATAATTAAAAACTATAATTTTATTTATGTAAATTTTATATATAAAATTAATTTAGAGTTCATATATGTAATTTTAATTTATGTAATATATATATATATATATATATATATAATTTATATAATATATATAATTTATTTAACATTAAAAATAATTATATTTTTATTAATTTTATAATTATAATTTTATTAAGGTTATAATATTAAATATAATTTTTTAACTTGATATTTATAATTTATATAATATATATATATAATTTAAAAATAATATTTTTTTATTTTAAGGTCATATATTTTTTTATTTATAATTATTTAATATATATTTGAAAATCTAATTGATTATTTAAAAATTAATCAATTATTTAAAAAAATAACTGATTCTCGTCCAAGTATGAAAAAATCAATTATGAAAAAACTAATCGATTAGTTTTTTAAATAGTTAAATATATATATATATATATATATATATATATATATATTTAAAAGTAACATATATGATAGCGGTTAACGTGAAACGCTCTTAAAGTGATATATATGATAGCGGTTAACGTGGAACCGCTCTTAAAAGTGACATATATGATAGCGGTCCCACATTAACCGCTATCTAAAATAACCTGGTTCTCAAAAACTAATCGATTACTTTTTGAATAGTTAAAAACTATAATTTTATTTATGTAAATTTTATATATAAAATTAATTTAGAGTTCATATATGTAATTTTATTTTATGTATATATATATATATATATATATATAATTTATATAATATAGATAATTTATTTAACATTAAAAATAGTTATATTTTTATTAATTTTATAATCATAATTTTTTTTAAGGTTATAATTTTAAATATAATTTTTTAACTTTATATTTATAATTTATATAATACATATAATTTAAAAATAATATTTTTTAATTTTAATTTGATATATTTTTTGATTTATAATTATT